ATTAATGGTGGATCTGATTTATGTGGACTAACGTATTCTGCAGCAAAGAGACACGCCCGGGATTACACCCGAGACAAGTCGTTGCAGGTTTATAGGATCGGAAAACGTCAAGAGGAATGGAGAAATGCGTCAATCACATTTGACGAAACGGACATTTCTGATCCGATACAATCTCATCACGATACGTTGGTGGTCTTCCTTAGAGTGGCAAACTGCGAAGTCAAACGAGTCCTCGTGGACAATGGAAGCACCGCGAATATTACCACCATGAAAATGTTGAAAGAACTGGGGGCCAAGGAGGAAGATATAACAGGGTCCGGGTCAAGCTTGGTCGGATTCAATGGAGAGCCGAGCAGAACCGTAGGTAATATTTCGTTACCCGTATATACCCATGGTTTAAACATGCAGGTCAAATTCGACATAGTCGAAAGCCTACCAGCATACAACATGACCTTGGGAACTCCCTGGTTGCATCAAATGGGGGCAATTCCATCGACTTATCATCAAATAATCAAGTTCCCAACGCCGTGGGGAGTGCAAAGCATCAGGGGGATCAACAGTCAGCCAAATCTTGCTACCAAACGGCGATGAAGCCAACTGCGGACCAAACTGCCTCCAGGATCGCATAGCAATTAAAGGGTGGCCCCGCTCTGGTGGAAGATGACGCCAAAACAGAAGAAGTCGCCATCGACCCGGAACATCCAGAAAGGGTCATCCGCATCGGGAAAGACATGCCAAAACACCTCAAAGACGAACTGATAAACTTCCTCAAAGAACATAAGGACGTGTTTGCATGGAGTCACGACGACATGACAGGTATTGATCCTAATATCATAACTCACAGGTTAAACGTCAGCCCATCACACAAACCCGTCAGACAAAAAAGAAGACGCTTTGCAAAAGAAAGGAATGCCATTATAAACCAGGAAGTTGATACGCTGCTTCGAACCGGTAAGGTAAAGGAGGTAAAGTATCCCGATTGGTTAGCTAATGTTGTTGTTGTTCAGAAAAAGAAATGGTAGGAAGTAGGCAAGCCAGTCAAATGGAGAGTCTGTGTGGACTTCACTGACCTGAACAAAGCGTGTCCCAAAGACTCATTTCCGATGCCACACATTGACGCTTTGGCTGACGCTACGGCAGGGCATGAAATGTTGTCCTTCATGGACGCATTCAGTGGATATCATCAAATACAGCTTCACCCCGATGACCAAGAAAGCACAGCCTTCATCACTGAAACATGTACGTATTGTTATATTGTTATGCATTTTGGACTAAAAAATGCAGGTGCGACGTTTCAGAGACTAGTCACCTTAATGTTCAAAGATCTGATGGGGGACACCATGGAAGTTTATATTGACGACATGATCGTCAAATCAAAGAAAAAAGAGGATCATATCTATCATCTGACGGAACCCTTCAGAAGACTGAGAAAATACAACCTGAAGATCAATCCAGCGAAATGTACTTTTGGAGTGACGTCAGGAGAATTTTTATGATATATCGTCAGTGAACGAGGAATAGAGGCTAGCCCGGAACAAATACGAGCAATTATTGACATTGAATCTCCAAAATCCGTCAAAGATATCCAGAGGTTGACAGGACGAATTGCGGCTTTGAATCGTTTCATTTCAAAATCATCAGACAGGTGCCATTTGTTTTATGACGTCTTGAGAAAAAACAAAAAATTCGAATGGACAGATCGACACGAACAGGCGCTTCAACAATTAAAAGAATATATGATGTCGCCACCATTGCTCGCAAAACCCAAAAATGACGAAGAGCTGCAACTTTATCTGGCCGTTTCAGAGCACGCCGTCAGCGCAGTACTGACAAAAGAGGAGCAGGGGCAGCAAACTCCAGTCTATTACGTAAGTAAATCCCTAAATGGCAGGAAATCCAGGTATGCTTTACTTGAAAAGTTAGTGTTAGCTTTGATCGTTGCTTCAATTAAATTACGTCCTTATTTTGAATCACATACCATTTGTGTTAGAACTAACTATCCATGAAGTCAATCATGAGGAAACCAGAATTGACAGGTCGCATGGCTAAATGGTCGATTCAACTTGAAGCTTATGACATAAGATTCGAATCGAGAACAGCCTTGAAATCACAGTCACTTGCAGATTTTGTGGCAGACTTCAGTCCAAAGCTCTAAGAGGAAGCAGAAAAAGAGACTTGCACTCTGATCGACGGATTGCCAAAGCAAAAATGGACATTGCACACTGACGGAGCATCAAACCAAAACGGCGCAGGTCTGGGCGTGGTACTGAAGTCACCACAAGGGGACACCATGCTCCAAGCAGTACACTGCGATTTCACCGCTACGAATAACGAGGCAGAATACGAGGCGCTAATCGTCGGACTCACATTGGCAAGGGACTTGGGCATCAAAATCTTGGAGGTAAAATGTGATTCTTTACTGATAATTAATCAAACTAACGGTGTGTATGCAGCAAAGGACCCCAAGATGACATCTTATTTGCAAATTGTCCGAGAATTGATAACGGCATTTGACGAAATAACCCTTGAACAAGTCCCACGTGAAGAAAACACACAAGCTGACGCTCTGGCCACCGTCGGATCATGTCTCGGGGCAGAAATCAATCGCAACATCCCTTATGTGCACTTGATGAGCCCAGCAATCTACAGATCAGAGGTTCCCTCTACCATTAAAACCCCAGTACAAGACGACTGGACACAACAATACATAGCGTACTTAAAGCACAATACTCTCCCAGAAGACAAGAAAGAGGCCAAGGCTTTCCTATCCAAGGTAAGTAAATTTCTACTGATTGATGGTGTGCTATTTAAAAGATCTGTCGCAGGTCCATTTCAAAGATGTCTGACACCGCAAGAAGCCGCCAAAGTATTGAAAAACCTTCATGAAGGGGAGTGTGGCAATCACGCAGTAGGGCGAAGTCTATCAAACAAAGCTCTTAGATTCGGATATTACTGGCCAACCATGAGAGAAGATGCAACCACTTTCACCCAAAGATGCAAGCCTTGTCAGATGCACGGACCAATTCATCATCAGCCTTCCGAGTCGCTTCATCCAGTTCTATCACCATGGCCCTTTATGAAATGGGGGATGGATATTGTAGGAAAATTGCCAGAAGCGTCGGGGCAGAAAGTATATATGCTGGAAATGACGGATTATTTTTCAAAATGGGTGGAGGCTGAGCCTTTTCGTCAGATACGAGATGACCAGGTAATTTCGTTTATCAAGAGAAACATCCTTTGCAGATTCGGCGTTCCTTCAGAGATCGTTTGTGACAACGGATCTCAGTTTATAAGCGCTAAGACCAGACGTTTTTGTGAGAAATACAATATCAAATTGGAAACGTCGACACCTAGGTACCCGCAATCTAATGGGCAGGCCGAGTCTAACAACAAAATTATCATTGCAACCTTAAAGAAGAGGCTTGAAAAGGCGCAAGGCCGGTGGGCTGACGAATTGCCCTTGATACTCTGGGCAGACAGGACAACTCCGAAAAATGCAAACGGACAGACCCCACTCTCTTTGGTGTATGGTTGCGAAGCGGTCATTCCTGCTGAAATTGAAGTACCTTCTTCAAGATATGGACTCATGACTGGGGAGTTGAACAATGTGGAGTTGGCGCACGACTTGGATACCATTGACGAGATCCGTGAACGAGCCAAGATCCGCTTGCAGACATATCAACAAATGGTTGCGAGAAGCTATAATAAAAATGTTCGGGCAAAGGTGTTCAAAAGGGGAGATTGGGTCTTGAGGAGAGCGTTTGGCAATGAAGCAGCCGGGAAATTTAGTCCTAATTGGGAAGGACCTTACAAAATCATTGAAGTCATTGGTCAGGGAGCATACCGCTTGGAATCAATCAATGGTAAACGAGTCCCTCGAAGTTGGAATGCGGTACATTTAAAACGTTTTCATTTTTAACAAAAGTTCCTTTTCTTTTCTGCATTTCTATCCCTATTACTAAATGAAATAGCTAACTTGGTCGTCAGAGGGCCGTTGGCTTAAGGCCAATGACCAACCCTGACAATAATTGTAAATACAGGAAGGCAAACAAAAATGGTCAAGTCACAGGTAATTAGTTACAGTTCATGTAATCTTGAATATGGTAAATACAATTCATCGTTCACTAACTTGACCGTCGGAGGGCCGTTGGACCCAAGCCAACGGCCGATCCCAACTGTACGGTATCATCGCAGGACTATGACAGGTTAAGATCAAAATACCAGGTGACCGAATACCAGAACAACAGATAGAACATCAGATCTGCTCATGACAAAACATCAGCATACAAGGGACATGGGACTCATTATGAATAAACCATAAATGAAGTTCCATGAAACCAAATACGTTTTGGCCAAAACACACACACATTTATGACACAGCATGACATGTTGCACACATAAACAGCAGGCATGCATACACAACAGAATACACATAAACAAAAGTATGATCCAAGCAATAGCAAAAACAGTGACAGATTCACATAATGGTGTGGACAGGGCTAGGCTGAACCGCCAAGCGTGAAGCCCATGAGTAGCGCAATAAGGCGTTAAGTCCCGGATAAACCACAGGGAACCCTTAACGCAAGTCGAAAAGTGTCAGAGTAATTCAAAAGCAGGAAATGTTTGTAATCCAGCAGACTTACAAAAAAGGGAAGCATGATCATCTGACCGGTAAACACTAAAGATCAATCTCATCGTCAGAATGACCCACCTCGAAGTCGTCTTCTCATACAGGAGGATCCATCTCTTCCCTCAGTTTATGCCATGTAGCTACATCCCGTTCCGCTGACCGATGTGTCATTTCTCCTTTGATAAAAGATGTCATCAACTCACCCCTGGTCTTCCAGAGATAATAGCAAGCGGCGTCAATTACTTCTTGTTTCTTTTTTCGACCATAAGCCTCAAAGGATTTGACTCTGGCGTTGAGCTGCAGTATCTGGGCAGATTGAGTAGAACTTTTGTCTTCCAATTCTCGAACTAACTTTGCACTCTTGTCAAGTGAAGATACTAGGGAAATCTCCTTCTGTTTCAGTTCATCAACGGTTCTCTCTAGTAAAGAGACACGAGCAGCAACAACAAGGCTCGCTTGAATACTCTGAAAAAGACAAGACAAGTTAGTCAAGAGTAAAGAGAAGGAAGCTCACTAAGCATGGTGATTCATCAGCACCTGAAACGCATAAGTGGAGGAAGCAACAATAACACCAGTAGGGGGCAAGCAGTCAAAAAAGGGAGCAGAGGAGGCCAATTGAAATTGAGCCATTTCGTCTTTCATGGTCAGAGCGTCCTTCAATTCACAGAATTCCGGGGAAAGTGATAAGTGCATAACTTGTGGTGGCTTCGCCCAGGTATCAACCCCATGTTCCGCATGGGGGGCATTAGGAGTTGTGGCAGTATCAGGCGTCGGGTACTTGGGCACCTTTGGAGGATTTGCTGACAATTTATAGGGCATCCTTTTCCTCCTCGATGCCATAGCCAACAAATCGTGGTCAGAAGGAACGGAACGGGAAGTGCTGGAATGAAGTAGCTACACAAATACAGAGGAATAGAAGTTAGGGGTAATCGATCCAGCACTAATAAAGAAGAGCATAAACCTCATATAGTACCTGCAATAGGAGTAGAATCCTTGAGTGGGGGCACGGGAGTATTCTTAACAATCGGAAAAACAACTTGTAAAGGGACGAAAGCGTTCATACTCTCGCCATCATCTTTGGAAACTTCAGATCCTTGCCCTGAATCTTCTACGGAAACGACATGTGAATTCTGATTCAAATCGTGTGCGGTAGGGGTGTGCCTACGAGACCGCCTTAACCCCACATAATCAGACTCAACAGGAAGAGGCGACGTACCTTGAAAGTCTCACACCAGGTTCACATAAGTTCGATCCTCAATGGGGAACGAAAGAATCCTGGCATTTCTCTCTTCAGAATGCAGACCGGGAACCAGTGGAATAGTCTTCCTCTCTGCACGTCACAGAGAAACAATGCCAAATACATCAAGTTTTATACATATATCCGAGAACGCAGAAAACATTCTGAAATTACCCAGTTCCATTACCTACACCCGAGGTTGCAAATCAGATAACAAAAATAGAAGACGGAAATCAACCAAGCAAGTCAAGAAACGCGATTCGAAAGAGAAACTAACCTTTGTGTAAATTCTCTTCCAGGAATGATCCGTCAGCACCTAACGACTCTTTATTTACAAAAAAGTACAAGTTCATCCATCCCCGGTCATTAGCTTTGACCACCTTATGAATGAGGGCCTCTTTTCCTTCCTTCACTGCTAAAGTAAAGTGACCGGCTCCTGAAGATCTGAGGTCGTAGGTGAAACCCAAGTCTTCAAAATCTAGGGCCAAACTATGTTTCTCACTCAAGACCTCTAAAGCTCTGAGTACCCTCCATACTTGGGGCATGATTTGGGAAGGCGATACTCTGACGAAAGCAAGAAAGTCTCGGACTAAACGTGAGAATGGGAATTTCATACCTATCTTGAAAGGGTACATCAAGAAGTTTACCCAACCATCACAGAACCAATCTATCCTCTCGTTCGCTGCTGGAAAACGAATAACCGCGTCGTGGGGAAAGCCGATAGATGACCTGATAAAGTCGACATGATATTCTGAAAGTTTCGCTTGCTTTGAGTTCTTTGGATCTAAAATGTGTTGCGGAATGAAGGGTTGTGAAGCCATGAAGAACCAAGGCGTTGGCTGGGATTTGCAAGAAATCGAAAGGAGAGGAGAGGAAGTTTTTCTTGCTAGACTAATTCATTAAGGGAAGAAGAGATTAGTGATTGATTGATACCGAACGACTGACGGCCTTACACATTCCAAGGCGATGTCATGATGAAAAATTCAAAGAATCGATTGGCCCTTTAATTTTTCAAGATCGGCGCCCTCCTCTTCTTTGAATTGGGGGCAATTGTTGGGCTGTGGAAATATAAAAAGGATAGATCGGCCCATTCCTAAAAGACGAAGCCCAGTTAAACAAAGAAGCGTACTGAGCGGATAAGGCCAAGCAAACGTGGAAAGATAAGTTGTAGAAGAGAACTCCTAACTGCATGCGAGAGAATAGGAGCAAATAACAACCTCCGCATGAGTAGGAAGAGAGGCTCATTCGCTGGACAGTTGGGCTGGAGTCCAAGGGATAAAGCTTTAGAATAAATAGGAGGATCGAGCCTAATCAGATGATTCCTTGCCTATTGTATTCGTACACAAATATCTATTGGATTATATAAAATTCTTATCATTCAAATTTCAATCTATTGATCTTTTGCACGAGCCCTCTCTTTGATTATATTGTTTAGAATAGTATAAAAATTGCTTAAACAATACCACACTCTAAAAATGTACGAAGTAAAAAAAACTTCATTTAAAGAGCATTAGCATTTTTTCTCAAGTTTGCGATACAGAATTCTCAAACCTCTCCTTCAAGAAAAAATCTAAATCTCAAGTAGTCAAGTCTAGTGAAAAATGTCATTTGTGAATTCTTCCATAAGTCTTTTCTCCCCACATTCTAGGCTTCTAAGTTCTAACCAAATTGTTAATACAACAGATGGAATGAAATCTACTTGAGATAACTAAAACAGCCCTACATGAGGTAACTAAAACAGTTATGTTCATCCCTCGCTTCGCATTTTAACATTTAAAGAGATTTCCTTGTATGATTGGACTTTCTTTGCCGCTTGCCTCGAGGGTCGACTTAGAGATGATAGCCTCAAATCTTTTGCTTCATTTTGAGATGGATAGTTTTCAACATTTTCCAGGACAGGATTACAATCACTTTTAGGATGAACTGACAACTGAGCATCATCATCATCATCATCTATCTGAAACCATTCCTCTTCCTCTTTGATTTCTTCATGCTTAAGCCTACCAGATATCTTTCTTACTGAAAGCCTGCAAAAATATCATTCCTGAGACCTCAGATTTCTTAAGGAATCAAGCTCGCATCATATATATATAGAGAATATTATCCAAAATAGGACTAAAATAGTTTTAAAATTCCAAAATAGGACTGCCACGTTTTTATTCCCAAAATAGTACTATTTACTGCTATGTTTTGGCAGTACCAGACTTCAAACATGGCAGTATTTCCTAAACTTGGCAGTAATTACTCCTATTTTGGAAATAAAAAACATGACAGTATTATTTTGGAATTTTCAAACTGTTTTAGTCCTATTTCGGAAACTTTCCCATACATACATACATATATATATATATATATATATATATATATATATATATATATATATATATATCTTAAAATTGTAGAAAAACCTTTTTCTATCGGTGTTCACACGTGGCTGAACTTGATGATTGGATGGTGCTGAACCTAAATTCTAAAAAAATGCAAAAGAAGTTTCTTAAGCTAAATTGTACTGCAGTGGCAATAGATACTTTTAAGAACAAAAGAAACACTGACTCTTTGACTGTCTTCTCCTTTTAGACTTTGGATATCCAGTATAATCTTTATCTGCATCCCCGTTTAAGTCATCCACTGTGTCCTCCTCCTCCCTTCTAATAGGTTGCGCCTGAAGAGGGTGAATCAGAGAGGTAAAGATGCAAAAGAATACTAACACCGTTTTGGACATTTTGAAAAGAAAAAAATAAATTTAGACTATACCTCAGGAATTGTATTTAGGAATCTCTCTCTATGTTGGGTTTCTTTCTTAGGCTGTTCAAGAAACAAAAGCAGTGACAAGTATGGAAGTTTTATTAAAAAAAGAATTAAATAAAATTATACCACACCAACCTCAGCTTCTAACTTCATAGCCTTGAGCATTCCATTTTTGCATCCAAGGCCGTGTTGTAATGTTTTTATCTAATACCAAATACAATTTCAAATATATTATATCAAGGTAAATAGGATTCCATAATTTTATATGTTTACTCTATGATTCAAGGCAACAATGCTTACCGACGGTCTGCATAATTTTAGTTCCTGCAATACAAAAGTAAAACATCACATATAAGTGATAATTTCGGATTTATAAGTATTTTGACTAATTTTAACACGGGTAAATCAGAACAAACTGCAAGCTTCTGTGTATTTGATTGTGCTAGTTGAAGGTTCTGGTGCTGCATTTTCTGCAGATAAGCCCTCAGTCTCTGTATTTCATTTCCAGTCATTTCAATAAGTTTACTATTGGACAACGATTACGGAAAACTTCATGATTAGAACAATTCAAACCTCTGAGACTCTTTGAGTAAGATTAACAATTCAATGACTTTTTCTATACTTCACAAAATAAAGCATGAGAGAAACATGCCAACAACTTCTATTATAAACAACATTAGGATACGCTCTTTCTAGTAGAGCATTCGTCAATGCCTTATTTTCCTGCACACCAAAATATTAAAATAAATTTTACAACAGTAAAACTTTACAACTTTAAAAATAAAAAGGTATTTACCGTTTCATATTTTTCAATGATCTGTTGCATCTCCATTGCAACACCTTTTCTGATTTTCTTTAGGTAGATTTATTTGTTGTTGCAAGTTACAAATTTCTGCAACATTTCGCGTAGCTGCACAGCTGAGAATAGTTTTTACCGTTTCTGCTACCTTGCGTTTTACTTAAATGTAAATGTAAAAAGGATGTGGATCATACCGACATAAAGGTGAAAGCCCAAAGCAGTTTTTATAGCTTCCTATTTTGGAACTACTAAAGGAATGCATTTAATAATTTTTGTTCTAAAAACTCAATAATTTTCTGAGTTCAAACATAGCTAAAAAGTCATTCCTAAGATAGTCAAAAGTCAAAAGTATATAAAGTATAAACATATACGGAGTATAATATTTCAAATAAAAAGATATCAACACGAGATGCCTGTGACTGGTAGTTATTTTGGAGGGGGGTTTCGCAAAATATTACTATACAGATCATAACTTTTTAGGAAACGCTCATTCCAATAGATGAAACAGCTCATTCAAAAGCAAGAAACGGTAAATACTTTGCATTTATAAATTTTTTCACCTAATCTATCATTTAATTGTATCTTTTTTACCCACGACCACTCCATGATGAATGCCCTACTGGAAAGAACGCATCCAAATATTCTTAGTAAAAAGGGTCAATACGCATAATATGTTTTCCATTATTTCTATTGCAAATTCTAAAGGAGTATCATGAACTTCAGAAAGAATCACATGGAGTTCAACCGCAAAATTGAACTCAAAGAAACTCGAACCAGAAACGAAGTAGCGACTTGAAAACAATTCGGCTCAAATTAGTTTTAAGATGTACATTCTGATAGTTTTACCTCCTCCGTTTCCGGTACTTCCCGAATTCGCCAAACCTTGAATCTTGATCGGTTAGTAAACCTAAACTGAGCTGCGCCGGAAGGAGGTCCGGTCAGAGCGCGACTTTGCCAAATAAATCCCCGGCAATTTCAACATTTTTTCGCCATATATGTAAAATTGTAAACAGGCCTAACATTTAGTGTCACTTTTCGGCTTTCACTTTGTAAACAGGCCTAATATTGATGGGCCTAAAAATGCAAACAGGCCTGACAGTCGAACTGAGAGATTCAAGGAAAAACGTTTGTGGAAATTACCCGTATCAACCACTTTTGCCTTAATCTTTCGTTTCTCTCCCGAGACAAACTTCTTTTCATTTATAACTTTCAAGTTTTCACTCTAGTTATTTTATTTCAAAAACAGTCCAAATCCTTAATACTTCGTATATATACTCCGTAACTTGCAATCGGATATAATCGATCTTACATCAGGAACAAATCAGAATATAATTTCTTCCTTCTCTGCAACATCGTCTTCGAATATAGTCAAAATTTGAGATTGAGATTCCTATCGATGAGACCGTAATCCAAGTCGGCAACCCCGATTGGGAGGTTTACAGTCTCAACCATGGCTGAATTGCAACTCACAACAGTCAGCTAGTCAGGTGAGAACCCGAGTCGGAAACTCCAACAGTGATCTACTTTCAAAAATGATGGATGTCAAAAGTAGCCTGGAACTATTCTTCGGATGTAAAGAAGATGCCGCCAAATTACGCCGTCGACCATACCATCGTGAGCACACTTAAATTCCTTCGGATCCTCTGATTTCTTTCCTCAATTTAATTTCTCTTTTAAATTGATTTTCCATCTGGATTATATATGATATCGTGACTCTTTCGCGTACTTAGATAGAATGAATCTAAATATGTTATTTATTCATTTACTCTGATTTTATGTGTACTTAATGTTTTTCATTGTGAAAGTTATGTATGGAAGATAGTTTGTATAACCTAAAGGCATTCTCAGATTTCTTCAATCTAGGCAAATAACTTTTCTCCAAAAATTCTACATCAAGAAATGTGATTACCTTGAATGTTGTGAGCTTGTTTATCTGAAAAATTACTTATTATTGGTTATTACTGGCTTTTCATGTGATATTTATTTAGCAGTTTAGACTTTGTCATGGAAAATATTCAAAATTCAGTTGTTGTTCTCGTGGTGTTGCTTGACCAAAGATTTATTTCTAAGTTGATGCAGTTGAGATACAGTTAAATATGGAAAAGTTTTGAACATTAGGTATATTGTCAATAATATTTCATTAATTCTGAGATTTTTAACTTGTCATATTTGATTATTTTGTACTCCTTATGTGCCTTAGACTGTAGTGTTATATCTTTGGGTTGTAATTCTATATACCAAATATCAATCAAATGAGATAATTTCCACTATCTCATTCTGCAGAAGTTTCTTCCTTACATGGTTGGGTATTTCTTAGAGATGCAATTCCTTAACTCAACTCCACTAAATCATTATCTCAATTTAATTTAATCTGCTACATGGATTTTCTTTGCCCATACAGTTTTTGAGTTTTGAAAGTGAATAACAATTTAAGAGCTTCTTATTTTTCTTTTGGATGTTTAGTTGTTGAACTAAAGTAATGTAATTTTAATTTCATAGTAAATTTAGCATGCATCACGGTAATACGTGCTAATATTGAGAAGGAGGAGGATTTTCGAGGGTTATGTGCAATGGTATGTATCCTTTCTTTCTAGCGTGTAAAATTGAATTTGGGGAACCAGTTAATGATTGGCGTTTCATCAATTTACAGGTCATAGCAAATCCATTAGGGGCTTTGAGTGCAATGGTTTTCATTTTTAAAGCCATTTCAAGTTGACAGGTAAGAGATAACACTAGCCCAATGTACGTTGTTTGCTCTAAATAATTTGTGAGGGTGGTTTTCTGTGCTTTTTTTAGTTTCAGGAAATGAAGAGCATTGATCTTTAAACTTAGGTCATTCAGGTGTTGCATGGGTACAAACGAGTTTAGTGATTTTAATTTATTTATTATGGATTCCACTATTTAAACAAAGCAACTATAAGTCATCCTTATGGGATTTTTATAATGTGCAAAATTTCAGATGCCTAGCAATGAAGAGTGGGAACGGTATCGTGCATGTCTGATCTTGAAGCTCACATGAAGGATAAGCTTCTAAAGTACCTTGCTTAATGCTCGGTGCTTTTTCTTCTTAGTTTCTAAAGTAGCTTGCTTTATGCTCAGTGCCTTTTCTTCTTAGCTTCTAAAGTACATTGCTTAATGATTCTTTTCAGGCCATTGAGAAAAAGCCCCGAAGCTGAAGTATGACCTTCCCTTTACTTGGAACTTGGAAGTAATCAAAAGCTATTAGCGAGCGTAAACTGTGTAAGGAGTACCACCATCAACTGGTGTGGAGAATAGCAAAAGATGGTATATGAATGACAATCCAGATTGAGAGACATTTAATAAGGCACACCAACACTTATATGGGTGACATACAGGAGAAGAAACTATAAGAAGAAAAACCAAATAATATAATTGATAAGTGTACTAAATTCAAATAATAGATTGAATTGTATATTTGTTGTGACACTATGATATATTATTTTTTGTTGCTTTTTGTTGTATCATGTATATTTTATTTTGTTGCAGCTTGTTATTTTTTGTTGCACCTTATTTCTTATTATTGTTTATTCAGAATTTTGTTGTTTATTTGGATTTCTATTTATTTTTCTTCATCCTTAAAATAGATATATATTTATATACAAACACTTAAAATATTAAATTTCAGTTAATGAATATGAACAACAACAAGAAACATGAAGAAACAATAAAAAACAGAATTTTGAAAGTTATCAACAAAAATAAACACAAAGAAACAATGAGAAAAAAATTGGCATTAAAATGATCATAATAATTATTAGATTCTGTAACCATTTTAAAAGTTTTGAGTTACAAAAATTGCACTTATTACCTTTCTGTATCATGTATATTTCATTTTGTTGCATCGTGTTGCATTTTGTTGCAGCTTGTTATTTTTTGTTGCACCTTGTTTCTTATTATTGTTTATTCAGATTTTTTTGTTTATTTGGATTTCTATTTATTTTTCTTCATCCTTAAAATAGATATATATTTATATACAAACACTTAAAATATTAAATTTCTGTTAATGAATATGAACAACAACAAGAAATATGGAGAAACAATAAAAAACAGAATTTTGAAAGTTATCAACAAAAATAAACACAAAGAAACAATGAGAAAAAATTTGGCATTAAAATGATCACGATAATTATTAGATTCTGTAACCATTTTAAAAGTTTTGAGTTACAAAAATTGCACTTATTACCTTTTTCAAAACTTTCGGGTATTTTTTTTTTAAAATTTTATTTTCAATTTTCACATTTTTATTTCATAAATTTATATATTTATAAAATTTCTTAGGTTTTTAGTATTTATGTATTTCAGTTTAAAAAATACTCTTTTCATAAAAAACTTTAAATGCTTTTCATATTTTTATAATATTAAATTACGAATTTATATATTTTGTGAAAATTTACGATTATAATTTTTTATATTTTTGCTTTTTGGAAATTTTTATTTTCAGCTTTATTTAATTTACATGAATTTTAGTTATCATTAACCTTTTATTTTTTGATAAATTTTAAGAATCTTAGTTTCTATTTTTATTCTACTCATAAAAATTTTATTTTATTTTTGCATGTTTCTTATATATTTAGTTGAATTTTATTTTTTTCAAATTTTTTATATTTATTTGAAATTTTTATGATTTTACTTTGTATATATATTGATTTAAAAAATATTACTCTTTCAAAAAAGATTTATAATTATTATTCATATTTTCAAATAGTTCCAAAACATTTGTTTCTTATTTTACATGTTTTTCATTTTTTTTTTAATTTATAAGTTTTTACTTTTTGTAGTTTCTTATTGTTATAACTTATTACTTTATTTAACTTTTTAAAGTTGTAAGTGCTCTCTCTTTTACAAAAAAAAAGTTGTAACTGCTCTCGAGAGCATAGAAATTCATTTCAGTATCTTGATTGAACTTTAAATCATTTTTTTTATTTTTTTCTCTTAAATGTATTATAATTATGAAATTTTGCAAGTGTAATTATAGAGCATAAAATTGGCACGGGTTTCCATCTTCCAATCCGTTCCGTTACTTAACAAGTAGACAGGCTTCCGTTATGGTCATGGTCTATTTTTGAAATGCAAATCTTTTCAGTCTATTTTTGAAAGAAATTTTGAAAAGTGAAAAAAAGTGATATTATTTTCATTTTTGGTCCATTTGTGAAAAATTCCCAAAACGTTTGAGACGGGTGCGGCTGTTTCCTAGGAATGGACCGGCCCGGTACCCGACCCGACCCGGCCCAGTACTGTGCGGGATCGGCCCGGCCCGGCCGACCGAGACTGGGGGCCCAAACCGAGAATAGGGCGGGCGGGCTACGGGACAAAGAAACTGCTGACCGGCCTGTTCGGTCCAAGATCGGTCCGGGCCTAACGGCTAGTTTAAAAAAATTGTTTAAGACTTTTAATGGCTTTGCAGCTATGTGTGGGGTGGCCAAGCGGCTTTATAGCCGTTGCGGCTGTCTAGGGGGGTTACGGGTAAAAAAATCTATAAATACTCCTATTTTCTAAACAATTTTCTACACCTATTTTTCAATTCTTCCTACTCTCTAATACCCTCTAATCATCTCAATCTTCATCTTCTCCAAATTTCTCTACACCTAATTAATATACTCCCTCCGTCCCCAATAACTTTGTCATGTTTGATCGACACGAGAAATAATAAAGTAAAAATTGTGTGATTGAGGTTTGTGCAGAGGAGAGAGAATGAACTGGAACCACAAATTCTTTACTTAAAAGGGAAAGTGGCAAAGTTAATTGAACATCCAAAAACTGAAAGTTGGCAAAGTTATAAGGGACGGAGGGAGTATATCATATCTGTTTAAATCAGTTATACAATTATTATATCTACTTATATATTTATTATCTACATATAAATACATATATTATATTACTTATATTTATATGTACTTAATATGTACCTATCATCTACTTGTTATTTACTTATATTTAACCATTACATCAAATTAATA